GTCCAAGTCGTGCTCGCAGCGTGGCCCCGCGAAGCCGGCGCGGCAGCTGCAGCGGAGGGCGTGGCCTAGGTCCAGGCAGAGCCCGCCTGTGGGGGAGGGGCATCAGGGGCGCGGCCCCGGAGAGGGTCCCCCCAGGCCCGCCCGCGCTAGCCGCCCAGCTCTGTAAGCCCCCTCGCCTTTTCTCTGGTTTCCTGTCTGTCTCCATCTAACGCAAGGGCCAACCTTTGTCCGTGCCTTACCCCTTCTCCTTTCTTTTCTCCCATTCTTTTCACCTTTCGCCTCCCAAGCTCAACCGTCAGGTCTCAGCTGTTGTCTCCTCCTCCAGGAAGCCCCCCGGGACTCTTTCTCTCATCCCAGCCCTGCACAACCCTGACCACTCTGGGCTCTAGCTGAGGATGACTCTGTCTTCCCCTTTGGGCTGGTACGCCCATGAAGGCAGGACCCAGAGCTGTCCTAGTCACTGCTGTGTCCCTTGTACCACTCAGCCCAGAATGAATACTCAGTGTTTTGATGAGAATTAGTTATAATAAGAATGCACCAAGCCCTTTACATTCATATTTAAACTTTCAACACTTAGTTCAAATCAGGTCTCTCCACTGCTCAGACACCTCCTGTGGCTCCATCTTTTTCTGGGTAAAACCAGAATCATCCTTTGTAGCCCATGAAATTCCACAGGATCTGTCCTGGTCACCTCCCTGACCTCATCTCTCACCACTCTCCCCTTGCTCACTGCTCTAGCCACAGGGGCTTCCCTGTGATCCTCAACACATCAGGCACATTCCTGCTCAGGGTCTTTACACTTTCTGTTCCCTCTGCCTAGAATATAATCTTTCCCCAGATCCCCACATTGCTCCCTCCCTCACTACCTTCAGCAAGGTCTCCCCTAACCATTCTAGCTAAAATGTCCACCTGTCTCCCCCTCCCCCCATACATACTCCCCATCCCCTTTCTGGCTTTATTTTTCTTCTTGGTTTTTATCACCATCTAACTTCCCACATAATTTACTTATCTTGTTTATTGTCTGTATGCCCCACCAGCTCTATGAGGGCAGGGGTTTTGGTTTCATTCCCTGCTGTATCCCCAGTGCCTAGAACAAAGTCTAGCACACTGCAGATGCTCAGTAAATATTTATGAGATAGAAATATCCCCTCACCCATTTGACAAAAGTAAAAACTGAGGCTCGGAAGAGGGGCACTTCTCCAGGCCACGGGCCTAAAGAAGGCAAAGCCAGGGTTGCCACCTGGGACTGTCTGAACCAAACCCTGCTCTTGCCCACTGACCATGCAGGGACCCAGGTCCCCACCCTTCCCTGACGTTCGGGTCTCCCCACCTCACCATTCTGGCATGGCTGCAGGCTGCACCGGTCCACCCTCTTCTCACAGTTGGAGCCTTGGAAACCAGGCGGACAGTGGCAGATGTAGGCAGAGTCGGGGTCTGCACCTCCCACACACAAGCCGCCATTGAAACAGGGTCCATCCGCACACGTCACTCCGCTCACCTCACAACGCAACCCGTAAAACCCACGGGGACAGGTGCATTCGAAGGACCCGGATGTCTCCTGGGCAGGGGCAAGAGGACTTCAGATTGATGTCTCCTTGGAGCAAAATCCCACCCCCACCCTTAGTCTTGACCATGGATGGGGCTGTTCCTTGTCAGGTCCCACCTCCCAGCATGCGAGGCCTCACCTGGAAAGCCCTCCCAAGACAACCCCTCCTTCCACTCCATGTTTCTTCCACAGGGAGGGGGCTCTGGAGGCCCAGAGAGAGCCCATTCCTACCACTGCTTCTTTGCCTACCAAATGCTGCCTGCCTAGTCTGCCATCCCCAGTTCTGTCTGTATAGCCAGTCTTACTTTGAGCTCCTAGCTCTGAGCCCCTCTCCTCCATGGAGCCTTCCCTGGATCTCCCCTTCGCAGGCCCTCCCCCTAACTTGAACCCTGAGTGTGTCTCCCTGTTCCATGCTGGCAGTGTCAAGGGGGCCCACTCTGGGCTCTACATGATCCCAGTACACACCAGGCTCACTCCCACAGCCACACCTTTGCTTACCCCAGGCCATTTACCTGGTCCACCCTCTCCAGTATTTCCCCTCAGTCAAATTGGACTTCAGAAACTCTAGACCTGGGCCCATCTCCAGGATGCTCTCTCTGATACGTCTCCATCCCAAATCCCCATACCACCTGGCCCCACCACTCCCTACTCTGAGTCCAGAGTTGTTCTCTATCTCACTGGAGAGACAGTTTGTGGCCCCACAGGACTCATCATTCCCACACCACACCCTTAGGTGCCACCCATTGGGCCTACTTGCCCCAATCCCATTCCTAGCACCTCATCCTAGATGCAGACTGGACACCTCTGGGAAGCCCTCCCCTGATAGCTACCCCAGCCCTCCCCAAGCTGTTGTCTCATGGAGCTCCAGGCAGGCGGTGGGGGGGACTCCCAGGGTCAAATCCTGAGCAGGAAGAGGTAGAAGGGGGTGATACTAACACTACAGCTGCCCCCGTTGGCACACGGATTCCCATCACAGGGCCCAGGACCAGGTATGAGGCATCCAGTGACAGCAGAGGATGGGCCCCTAGAGCTGAGACAGGTGCTGGTGGAGACGGGGACTGTGCAGAGGGGCCCAGTCCAGCCTTCCAGGCATCGGCATTCACCAGGCCGCTCACAGAAGCCGTGCTCTGGGCTACAGCCGGCTCGACAGGCCGCTATGGGGGACAGAGAGGCAGAGGGAGAGGAATATCGATGAGGGCCGAGTTAGGAGGACAGAAATCGGAGCTGTTTCTAAGCGCTTTCTGTGTATCACCTTTTTGTCCTTGTGACACACAACCTTCTGGGCTAGATGGTATTGCAACCCCCAGGTAACGGACAGGGAAACTGAGGCCGAGAGGTGGGATGACTTGCCCAGCGAGAAAGTAAACGGGTGAGGAGTTGAACCCAGGCCACTGGGCTCCAGAGTGTGCCCACGGAGGAAGACTGGAGTGGGAGCGCACAGGTTTGAGCTTGGAGACGGGAGGGTGAGGGAGGGGCAGCTGGGGGTTGGGGAGGGACCCTGGCCTTTTAGTAGAAATGGGGGGCCTTGGATTATTAGGGCAGGGCTGGGAAGATACGGATTAGCCTTGGAGCCCTAGGAGCTTTGGTGGGGCTCAGAAATTTGGGGAGTGGTCTGAGGATTTCCAGGATGGAGGCCGGGAATCCCAAACTTTAGAAAGCAATGGGGTCTGGCCTGCATTTGCAGAGGGAGGATGAGGGATCCTTTGGTGGGGGCCGCTCGGAGGAGTTTCCAAAGCTACTGGGTGGGGGCAGGGAGGGCCCCAAAATGAGAAGAGCTCTGGTGGCCATAGCATCTGGAAAGGCGTGTGGGTATGGGTTAGGGGAGGAAGGGGGGAGACCAGCATGGGAAATGGGCATGGGGTTTCTATCTGGGGCAGCAAGACTGCTAGGAAGAGGGAGGCGGGCTGGAGTGCCCAGGCGGGGCTGGAGAGAAGTCTAAGGTCCTCGGCCTTCCTGAAGCGGGCAGCTGGGTCATGGGAGGGAGCTAAGGCCCGTGGGTGAAACTAGAGTGGGACCTGGGGTACAATGGGCAGCAGGCAATGGCATTCCCTAGTTTCCTGGACTGGGATTCTGGGGTAACTGGCAGGGTTCCCCAGTTCCCTAAAGAGGGCAACCGGGTTGCAAAAGGGACCCGAGGGCGGTGAGTGGAGCTAAAGAAGGGCCGGGGATGAGTTGCAGGCAGAGCGCAGATACTCACGCGGCGCCTCGCACTCGTCCTCGCCAGGCCCGCAGGGGC